GTAGGCCTGTATGGGGAAGATGGTAGTGGTGGTGGTTGTGATGGCAGTGATGGTGGTGGTGGTGGTGGTGGTAGAGTAGCTACAGAGGAGGGGGCAAGGAGATGTGTCTCCCCAAATTGGTTGGCGAGATGGGGGGGGGGGGGGGAGCGATAGAAATAGGGAAAGGAAAGGCATTGCTGGAACAACTCCCCCTAAACCTACCATCATGTTCTCCAACATACGATTTGCATTATTACAGGTGCCACCCTCTTCTTATGTTCCATGGGCTCCATCAATAGCTGAACCCTTCAAGATTTGATGCGAGACACTTTGTATTTTATTTATGAGCACTTCGTGTTTTGTTTTTTTGTGGGGGAGGCTTAAAATGTTTGGGTTGCTCCAAAATGGTGGAAGATAGTGGGCCTAACCATGCGCGAGGACTGTGAATTACCTGATGTTTGACCTGGGACAAGTATCTTGTCTGCCGGTGACTTAACCACAGGGCCATTCACCATTGCAAGAATGCAAGCGCACGTTCAAGTTGAAGGTATAAACGACATATTTCTCATATTGGGAGAAATAAATCTAGCTGGTCAGGATTGACCAATACAGGAAGAACGGACGACAATAATGGACGGGCAGCCTTGTATGTACAGTCAGTACTCAATTATTCATACCCTTACCAAGTTTTGTAACTTTTTAAGTATGTGAAAAAATACTTTGTCCCGAATATAATTATGTTTCTTGATTATGTGGCGTATAAAAGTTAACATCTAAACTTATTGAACAAATGCCCTAATTCAACCAGTTCACCTTTCATTTTTATCTTACGAAAAAAACACCACAAAAAACACATCAAACTTACAAGGGGTATTAAGTTGTTGACTGTATCTCCTTAAAAAGTGCATGCGCCTGAGAATATACCATAATTGGTTCACAAGAAATATTGGCGTGAATGTATGAACGTGGCTAATAGGACTAAATGCCGCTGAAACTACTGAGAAACTACAACATCATGAAGAATATGTGGTTGGCAGCAATTGATGAATATTATCCTGTTTCTTTTTTTCTCTCAAAACGAATGCCTTTCCAAATAGCAACGGTCGATGTCGACGAAATAGTTAAGATGCTCATATTAGTACCAGAATTGTAGGCCTAATCTGAAGCGGGGGAGGGCAAAATAGTTGCCAGCTGAAAACATTATTTTCAGCAATCTGAATCGGATTGCCTTTTTCTGTTGTTGCAGTCACAGCTTGGTAATTGTTCAAACCTGGGTGTTTTTGAAGCATGACCGATATGGCTTAACCCACTCGCCCACGTCTGTTCTGGTCAATGGTTCGAAAATCCGAAATCAGTTTCTCTTTTGTCTGCGCCAGCCAGTTTGTTTGTGGCTCTCCATTTCATTTTACACATGTTGAGAAGGAATTCAGATTACGAAACGAGTAAACAATCATTATGATTATTTGAGTTATTTTGACTAAATTTATTCAAGCGCAAAGCAAACAGAGACTTGATCACAAATGTGTTATTTTTTATTGCCAAGGCCTGAATTGGTGAACTTGAGTAAGAGTGTAGAACAACTTCATACCATGCCTGCTCTGTTAAAACTTACAACATAAATAAAATGCATTACATGAGGGTACTGATTTCCGTAGTATCATATCTGATTGATACACGTCTGTAAAAACCCAACACACACACACACACACATCCCGCCTCCTCCCCCACTCTCTCTCTCTCTCTCTCTCTCTCTCTCTCTCTCTATTTATCTTTCTCTCTATCTCTGTCTCTACATCTCTATCTCTTTCCCATATACTCTGTCTTCTGTTTCTGCCCGTCCCTCTATTGTGGCCCGATGCCCCCTTTTTTCTGCCCCACCTCCTCCCCCACCCCTTCATCTGATCATGAACCTAAGTATTAGGTTCATGATCTGATATTGAAGTTAAAGGGTAATATCATGAAATTAGGTTCATGGTAATATACAAGGATCAAGTGTCAATGTCGCTACCCGCATTTTAGCACGGACAATTTACAATGCAATCTAACGTACCCACGCAATAGGGCTCAAATAACAAATGCCTTAAATGAAAAAGCAAGAGCAAATAAGTTCATAATAGACTTAATGACGGGTGAACTATTCCCTAAAGCGCTGACTTTGGCCGCCATGTCAACTTTACATATTTTAGTAATTTTTTGTTCGTTTTAGGGTTGACCGCCTACGCGCTTAGAGTCATGTGAGAATATAAGCTCTCTCTCGCTCTCTCTCTCTCTCTCTCTGTTTGTTGGTTCGTTTCCTGTGGTGAAATCTTCCTCCAATTGCGACATCATGAAAGTGACTTTGTAAACATTCATTAGCGGATCCATGGGAGGGGTCACTAGGGGCATATGCCCCCCCCCCCCTCCCTCGGCAGCACTAAATTTGTGATATCTTTTGAGACTTTTGTACATTTGCTTGAAATTTGATCAATTAAAATTAAATTTTAATTTGAGTACGATTGTAGTATAAATAGAAAACGTGCCCCCCCCCCACCCCACGAATCCCCCCCCCCCCTCCCACCAGAAGAGAACACTGGATTTGCTACTGACCATGGGGTGATAAATTCCAATAATTACATAGTCATGGACAGATAGTTTTAATGACACTGAAAATCGCAATGGTTCAATCGCAATGGTTCAATGAGGCAGACGAGAATGTCATTGCTCGTAAAAAAAAATGATCCCGGGCTGGAATGCTCCCCAGTGAGTGGAGAATGATGACCGGGGTAATAATATATTAGTCTGTAAAGCGCTTTGAGAGGGCCTGTAGTCCTGAAATTCGCTATATTAGAACGAACTATTATTATTATTATTATTAATGTATGGATCCCCACCCCTAGCAACCGTCTTATTCTTTAGAACAAAACTAAAAATCCAATAACAAACCCGGAGGTAATTAATCGTATTGAAAGAGACACAAGTAATACAGATTGTCACGTGAGGCATTATTTTGTTTCTTTCAAATTTTATTACAAAAACACGAACAAATTCGTTTAGTCAAATACAAACATATCTACATACATTATGGACAAATTATTGTGATAGTTGACATTGCATGATACATTTATTAAGTCAATTATTCAATTGAGCATAGATCATTTTGAAAAGAAAAGGGCATTTAACACAATATAAGAAGACACATTGATAGTGTGAGGTGTCTAAAATCATATGGGAAATCGTCCATTGTCAAAGAAAATCTGTGAAAAGAAACGTTATGCTCCAATAACAAATATCACTGACTTATAAATTCGACGACCAGAACTTTTTGTTCTTACTATGAAGGAAAAAAACGGACTTTGATTTACACGTATCTCATACAAGAGTATGAGTAATATATTCACGTTCAACATTTTCAAATAATTTGCACTGAGGAGCATATTTCCATTATACCCAGTACAGGTGGCAAGAACAGATTAATAACATATGTTCATGTTTATGGTATTCATTCAATTTAAAGGAACGGAATACGATTCCTCGGATAACGATGACACTTTTTGTTTCATTTTCCTGTTACTATTATACGAACAGGCAAAGAAAAAGTGCGGAGGAGATGGGAAGATTTCTGGATAATTATACCACTGGCAACAATGCCATTTATATTCTTGCGTTTATTATTTAAAAAACAAATTGACAAGTCAAAATGATGTTTTTTATGACTTTGAACACTAAAAGAAAATACAAATTAAATGACAAAATGCAAAAGAATCAAAGTTTACCCCCACCCTCCCATAATAATACACAAATCACTGAGGACTGGAGATACTACTACTGGCAAGTAAAAACATGATAGATAACTTCTTTATGAAACCAGGCAAACAGGCACTCAGAGATTATGTTTTTCTAGGTAAAACATTTGCATGTTTATAGTCCAGGACCTCATTTCACAAAACTTGTCATCAGTGACAAATAACAGTTTTGTTTATAAGCTACTGAAATTCTTGCTTACGATTGGTTATCAGCAGATTTGTCACTGATTTTTGTCGGTAGTCATTGAAAAAAGGCTTTGTGAAACGGGTCCCAGGGCAGCGTTCCACGAAACTGTCACAAATACATTGAGTTCGCCGATAACCCCTTAAAGCTAATCAACACTACTAGGCTAGGAGGGATTAGACCACACATCGAGGTCACTGATAGGTGGCTATCTCATCAACTCAGCTCTCAATTACCATAAGAAATAGAGGATCATGGGGGACCAACAGGCACCGATTGGGGAAGTTTTCTAAATAGAGGGAGCAAGTAGCTACAAGTAGGACAGTGGGGCTTTAAAACGCATGTATCAAATTTAACACGCACTTCAATGAGATGTCAGTGAAGTTGTACTTATGACGGTTTTGTGAAACGACGCCAAGTATAATATGCATGATAACGAGACAATCAAGATTATACTTTTGCATAAGATATAAAATATACAAATGGGTCATGAAACATGATATTACTACATATATTGCTTATTATATGATCTCGACTTGTTGAAAAATATATTGTCTATTATTGTTCCAACGTATATTCACGATTTGCGCATGATTCAGATGTGTTTATTCCATTAATCTTTTGAGCTGTTATGTCATTATCGCCAATAGAAAGCAATCGTCCTTGCATTCCAAAATGTACAGGTAGAACTGAGATCCATGTGATAAACATTTGCTATTAATCACAACTTATTTGCGATTAATATCAATTATCAACTCTTCATATGACAGGGCCCTGGGGGGCATTTCACAAAACTTGTCATCGGTGACAATCGACAGCTTTGTTATAAGCTACTGAAATATTTGCTTCTGATTGGTTATCAACAGATTTGTCACTGATTTTTGTCATTTGTCATTGAAAAAAATCCTTTGTGAAACGGGTCCCTGGTCAACAAATTGTCACTGTTATTTGTCCATTCGATATTATCAAATCAGTAACATTGACGGTTTATTTTTAGTCTTACCCGTGTACGTGTAAGTAAATATTGGTTGAGTTATAGAAGAAACTCCATGATCACTGTCGATATATGCATTACACTCTCTTCCTACTTGTTCAATGTACAGCCGACTGTACGAGGTTTGCCCTTCATCGCAACAACACATTTCCAACCATTTATCTTAGAGATTGTCGTTTGTACATGGACGAGTTTATAGAAATGCGATCGTCAACGTTTTGTTTCAACACTCGAGATCCAATCTAAGCGTGTATGCCTCAGAATATTTACTAGTTGCCTGTGAACGTTTCATTATTATTTAAAAACCACATCACAGTATAGTCCAACAGTTCAGCCAGAGTCTTGTTTGTCACAGGCAATAACTCCGTCTCAGGATATCAAATTAATCGTAGTAAGGCTTAGTAAGACTCGAATCCATCGAATTTCTCGAAATGGTTCAGTGGTATGGATGTTATCCAGGGTAGACCTATCATATCGCAAGTTCTCTCGGTTTCTTTCACACCGATCGGTGGTTCTCTCCAATTTTCCGGTAACAATACTGTGCTGTCTCACGTCAAGAGAGGGCAGTCTACCATAAAATCATCCATAGCCATCAAGTCGTCGTGACCGGGTTGCAGCGCCATGCCTGCCGCGTTGTATTTTCTTCTCAGTCGCTTGCACAGCTGTGAGATGCTTTCTCGTGATGTCTTCCAGATCACCTCAAACTCGACGGGACTGCACCGGGATCCGTACTTCTGGAAGAGGAGGTCTGAACAAATGGACGTGTGCAAGAAAGAGAAAGAGAGAGAGGAGAGTTATAACATTGGTTCATTAACTTCAGGTCCCCATTTCACAAAACTTGTCATCAGTGACAAATGACAGTTTTTGTTATAAGCTAGTGAAATCCTTGCTTCTGATTGGTTATCAGCCAATTTGTCTCTGGTTTTTGTTAATTTCAGGGCCCCCATTTCACAAAACTTGTCATCAGTGACAAGTTTCAGTTTTTGTTATAAGTTAGTGAAATCCGTGCTTCTAATTGGTTATCAGCCGATTTGTCTCTGATTTTTGTCAATTTTAGGGCCCCATTTCACAAAACTTGTCATCAGTGACAAGTTTCAGTTTTTTTTATAAGTTAGTGAAATCCTTGCTTCTAATTGGTTATCAGCCGATTTGTCACTGATTTGTCATTGAAAAAAGGCTGTGTGAAACGGGTCCCAGTTCTACCAAAGTGTGATAAAAACTGCCTATCATTCAGGATGATGATCACGAAAAGAAGATGCATGAAGTCCAACGCTATAGTTTAAAATACAATGGTATCATAGTGCTATTGCTTTCAAAGTCTCTCTCCAATTGACAAATGTACAATGCTTCATTTTAAATGATGTATTGCTAAGTAGGAAGCAACACGTGACGTATGTAACCATTATCATTTGAAAGATAACCTGATTTGTCAATTTTCCCAGAATTTCGACATGGTTAGCTGTCATATTTTAAAATGGGCATAGTAACAATCACCTACAAATCCAAAATGGTTTGATCTCCTTCATGAAATTTATTTTTTAGACATAATTATTGTTCACAAGCAAACAAACACTTTTGTATACTAGACATTTATTGCCAAACTTAAAATAAAAATGTACATTATTCAACAATTGGGAAAGAAGTGATATGCACATTATTCCAAACTCACGTTTTATCTTTCTCAGGCCAGCAAAGTCAAGCGGGTTCTTGCTGTTACGCCCTGTGACCGAGGATCGGATCAGAATCTTAGTCCCGAAGATACAGTAGCGGGCGAGAGCGATAGCCAACCGGGGAGCTCCGGCATAGGGCGTCATCTCTTCCCACCTAGAGTCTTGCATCACCATCTGTATACGAACTGCATGGGTAGAATGGAAGATGGAAAAATAAAATTACCAAATTACCAAATTTGTTTTGGAAATGAAGATCGTCATATTGAGAGAGAGAGAGAGAGAGAGAGAGAGATGGATGCCACTTAAACTGTATAACCCATTAAGCTCTTGATTGCAAAGCCTTTCAAAAAATCAACCCCATGACAATAATTTTGATAGCCTTTTCCATCACCTATTGAAATGAAGTATTATGTAATCCGAACGTGATTTTTATACCAAGGAGTTTTTTAATTTTATTTTGCCTTGATTTCTGGCAGTCTCTGCGATCTGGTTTTTATTTTGAACGTTAAGGATTGTTTTGAGATTGAGATCCGACATTATTCACTTCGGCATTTTGGGGCTTATTCCGTTACGGTTAATGATTAGCTCATGAATGGGTCCGGAGATGAAGTTTGGAATTTGACAAGTGCGTGAGATTGACCGGAAACACTTTTCGCTAGAGCAAAAAAAACAAGGCCTACAGTAAGTGTACGTGTAATAATTATCCTCATTCTGTCTCTGAACATCTAATTACATTATTCCTTTTTTTCTCCTTCCTCTTCTTCTTCTTAATGCCCCACTGTACTACTTGTAACTACTTGCGCCTATTATAGCAAACAATGCATAATCGGTGCCTGTTGGTCCCCCATGATCCCCTTTTTCTTATGTTATTTGAGAGCTGATTTTATAAGATAACCACCTGTCAGTGACCACGCAGGGAGGTCTTATCCCTCATGGTCAAACTAGTGCACACAGGATTTAAAGTGTTCTCTTTAGCTACTGATGATATACTTTTGTAAAATTATTCTCACCTTCTGTTTGTGACTGGTTCACACCTCGCATGTCTCCAAACTCGGACAGGTTGTCAGGAAAGCGGCCCTCCTCTGCCTTATCATCGAGCATGATGATCCCATCATCTTCCATCGGTCTCTCTAGCTCCTGCCTCCCTTCAGCTCCAGCTAGATGCGTTGCTCCAGCCCTGAAGCCTACTCTCGCGTCTCCACGTCGAGCTCCACCCTCTTTGCCTCCTGCGTGTCGCCTCTCTGCTGCGAGATGTCTCCCTCCGTCTCTGTCCCTTAAACTTGGGGCAACGGCTCCACGGGAAGTAGATCCTGCCGAGCTCCCGCCGCTTACCACGCGCTTTCTCCCGCTTCTTTCTCCAGTCTCTCCTCCTGTTCCTCCTCCTCCTCCTCCGCCGCCGTTTTCAGACGACATATCTCTACCTCTACCCCCTTCTCCCCCCTCACCTTCAGCATCTCCACCACCGCTCCGGTCGTCACCGGCCCCTCCTGGTCCAGCCCCACTATCTTCCTGGAGACCCGAGTCCACCTCACTGCCTGCTCCACCGGGATCCGAAGAGACACTCTGCATCTCGGCTGCACCCATGAAGGGGAGATGCTCCAGGATAAGCTGGAGCTGGCCCTCGATGACTACCATGCGATTGGAGATGTCTTCCATCTATATAAAAAAAAAAGATAAAGACAAAAATGACAAAGATAGATTTAACAAATGCAGAGTAATTATCCCTAGAATGTGAAAATATTGACTTCACTGGAGGAGCATGTACATTTGAATGATTTTTTGATAACAAAATATGGCACCATACCCATAGGAAAGTGAAAAGTATGCCGCAGACCTGCCGCAGACCTGCCGCAGATCTGCCGCAGACCTGCCGCAGACTTTTAGTCTGCGGCAAAGAGTATGCCGAAGTATGCGGCAGAAAGAAATTTTGCTGTAGACTTGCCGCATACCAGTATGCCACAGGAACAGTCTGCGGCAGATCTGCGGCAGATCTGCGGCAGGATGAAATTTTGCTGCAGACTTGCCGCATACTAGTATGCCACAGGAACAGTCTGCGGCAGATCTGCGGCAGGATGAAATTTTGCTGCAGACTTGCCGCATGCTAGTATGCCACAGGAACAGTCTGCGGCAGATCTGCGGCAGGATGAAACTTTGCTCCAGACTTGCCGCATACTAGTATGCCACAGGAACAGTCTGCGGCAGATCTGCGGCAGGATGAAACTTTGCTCCAGACTTGCCGCATACCAGTACGCCACAGGAACAGTCTGTGGCAGGTCTGCCACAGGAAATCCCATTAAAGTCTAATAGGGCCAATTGAAACCAATCATCTCATGCATATTCATTATTACTTTACACGTGTGACAGAAAAATACATTTATCATGATTTGTTAAGCAAATTAAGACAATGCACATCATTTTTGTGATTTCTATTTTCCTTTTGCCATTATTAACCAATAGATTATTTTGTCTGATCATGTTACAATTACATTCACGTTTAAGCAATAGATATATTGATTACTAACCAAGAAACTATGATTACTAACCAAGAAACAATATACATATTTAGTATATATATGTGTACGAGCCTGTGTCACTTTAAATGTTACTCTTGAATACACTTCAAATGATCAATGTGATGAAGTTAATACAATTGAGAATAGAATATACCTAATTGGTAATATATATATATTGGTATTACCTAATTGGTAATATCGATATTGCCAATATCGATTATGAAGTATCAATCAGTTTATCACTGGTTCTTCTACATGCATACTTTATTGCCACGTACTGGATATGAAAGAGTATGCGGCAGGTCTGCAGCAGGTCTATATGAGATATGAATATTCATGACGAAGAGTCTGCGGCAGGTCTGCAGCAAGTCTGCGGCAGACCTGCCGCAGACTCTTCATCATACTGAAAGAGTATGCGGCAAGTCTGCAGCAAGTCTGCGGCAGACCTGCCGCAGACTCTTCATCATACTGAAAGAGTATGCGGCAAGTCTGCGGCAGACCTGCCGCAGACTCTTCATCATACTGAAAGAGTATGCGGCAGGTCTGCAGCAAGTCTGCGGCAGACCTGCCGCAGACTCTTCATCATACTGAAAGAGTATGCGGCAGGTCTGCGGCAAGTCTGCGGCAAAACTAATTTGCATGTGAAAAAGATGACTGTCTGCGGCAAGTCTGCCGCAGGAGTATGCGGCAGGCTCATTTCTTTCCTATGGGCAGACATATGTGAATCTGTAATCAGTGTGCCTTTCATATAGAAACCATTTTTGATCAGTTCTGAAATTCTAGTTCTCAACAATTCCAGCACATTACGTTCACATCGTCACAAGTGAATATGTTCATGTAACAAAAAGAACAAATACTTTTGAATTGTAATTCAAAGATGCAGGGACTTTTATTTTGTTTATTTTCTTGATTAATGAGTTTAGAAACATGGGCTTAGTATCCTCAACTTTCTCTGGTATTATGTATCAAGTAAGCACTTGAATATGCCTATTTTTCAAAACTTGCTTTAAAGATCAACATTGTCCTCTCTTCCAACGGGTTCTAATTATTCATAGATTCAAGATCTTTTTATTTTCCTACCCATTTTTCAGTTCCACTAGTTTCTGTTGCGGGTTCAGTCTGCCTTTGGCTGCGGTTAGTCGAGAAGATCCTCTCCGCGAACTCGCTGTAAGACTCCGGAGGATCAATCTCTAACTCTGGAGAAATCTCATCACCACTGAAGTGATCCGGACTATGAGGTGACGTTCTTTCGTGAGCTTCGTTGAACCTCATGTGCCTTGCGTGCCTCTCCTCCTGGTCCCCGTGGCATCTGCCCCTGCCCCTGCCTCTTCCTCCTCCTCGACCGAACATGTGCATCCCCCGCATGGCCTTACCCATGGCGTGGTGCATGCGAACCATCTTCTGGTACTTGTGTAGCGGGACGCCGTGCGGGAACCCGGGGGACATCCTGTGCATCCGTCTGGGCATACTCGATGCCATGGCCTGTCGCATCCCTATCATGTTCCGCTGAAACTTGCTCATGAAGGGTTGCTTTACGCCGCCTCTGCCTGCGGATAAGGGCAGACGACGTTGCCCGACGTGGAAGGCCGCTCCCATCTCCGGTGTGATGCCATGCGCGAGGCGACTCGCCATCGCTGCCGCGTTGCACATCTGTGATCTGTGTAAGCTGAGTGGGAAGTGGCTCATCCTCGCTGCGGCCATAGCGGCGGCGGTTGCTGATGACGTCATTGGCGATCTACGGTTTCTCTCCATCCCACCGCTGCCACCAGAACTTCCGCTTTGTGACGTCAGAGTACTGCTGCTCCGACCAGACCTCGCCATATCTTCGGGATTCTTCGAGAAGCCATGCGAGGAGTGCGTGGTACGAGAACCAGCGCTGTGGGCACTATGGGTGCTATGAACAGAACCAACCGAGGACCTTCCGAGAGACGACGGTCTCTTCGGGTTGACAACGGTCTCGGGATCCGAGTCGAACTCCTCATCCGAGCCCATCATCTGACCGCGTGGATGCGACAGGCGACGTCGTGTCATCGCCCTCGCCTCCAGAATAGCTGCCTCGTCATCGTTGTCCTGTGTTCTCTCCATCCAGGACGAAACCGCTGGAGGAATCCTGTCTCTCCCTCTAGGGCCACTCCTGCGGATCACCAGGTCTTCTGGCTGTTCCTCGCTTCGTGGTCGTTCTTCATAGCGTCTACCAGATAGCTCTCCTTCATCGACGGTTAACTCATAGTCTTCATCAACCTTGAGCTCGTAGTCGTCGTCGACTATCTCTTTCTTCACCGTCGGCACTGGTCTTTCAGCCGGCGATTGACTCCGAACAGATTCCTGGAAGAAGAAAAAAATGATAAGAAGGAAGAAATCTCAATTACTTCTGTCAAACTTGGTTTACTTGGTAACATGGCATACATTCATTTCTTTTATGCTTGCCCAACAAAGCATTATTCGCCATAACCATTGTGTCCAACTCGAACTGGGTTGGGCAAAATCTCTTAATCAATGGCTCTGTTTACAACATACGTTGTGCCCCCTCAACGGTTCAACCCTCTCTCTCTCTCTCTCTCTCTCTAGCCAGAGGCATCGCTATACTATAATAATGTTACTTTCTTTCTTCAAAAGTTAAAGTAAACTTTCAAATGAAAGTTGTGAATTATCCAGATCACCGGTGGTGACATAAATGAGATTTTTACCTTGTGAATTTCAAGGAAATCAGCTTTTAGACAACGATCACGAATGTGTATGTCCTTGTCGTTGTGAAACTTGGCAATACATTCAGTGTACAAATATCATAAGATGTCTAATATACCATATCATCTGAAGCACAATGAAATACAATTATTGAAATATTTATAACGTCACGACCGCGGAATTCCTTCATTATAGGTTATGGACTTCTTTTAAATATCGATCTCTATCATAATTAGTGTCCTAAGACTATCCCGCCAGAAGACATTGTTATACTACATAATTGTCTTTCTATTTTCTTTATGTTCCAAACTCTTCCTTTAAGTATTCATATTACTCACATAGCTGCCATTACACAATGTGAAAATGAAACTAACGGAGGAGGCCCAGAGTTTTCTGGAAACAAATCGTGGATAACTCTGCGTCCAAGATGTTGGAGGTAAGGACTATCAAAGTGCGATGTGGCTTACACAAACCATTATTTTAACTCTAGAATTAAAGAATGGTGAGCATATCCGGGAAATCTTATCCAACTTTGCGTTTCGCAATCCCTAGATGATTATGGTTAGCAGCCACTGCCCCGGCACCGGCGTATGTTAACGTCATTAATGATAATGACTGTGTATTGGTGGCATACTATTATCTCCTAAGAATCTAAGATCGACTCCAAATTAACACGAACTATGAAGTTGGATCATTCTTAGGACACTGGAGAAAACTCATTTATACAACAACAAAAAATGCTATAGCTACTTGAGAGGGATAGTTACTTCACCGGCAGTTGCTTCTGATTGGTCAGGTATTTCACGAAGCTCCAAAACAGTTCCCTCTCATAAAGATTGAACGTGGGAGGGAAATATTTGGAGCGACATGATTTATCTCGCGTACGCGTAGATGCGCTTGTCACAACTATCTCTCTCAATGCGCTATGGTCTGATCTAACACATTGAAATCAACTTGTAGCCGAAATAAGTTAGCGCTAAGTTAATCCGTCTTCTTTTCTCTACAAACAGCCTTGCCCCCCAAAATTTCGACATACTTTTAACAAAATTAGAGGTCCTTTATTCAGTTATTTCAAACACAATTGCTATAATGATGTGCATGCCATATCGTATCTGAAACTGATAAATTAAGAGTATAACATACAATAACATGTATACATATTACATAACATACATAAGAATTCAACAGTATGCATTCAATTATACTTAGGTAGTATAATAATCCTTGCGTTATGAACTGGCTATATGGATACATTTCCTGAAAGAATTTATAATTGAGATACCATAACTGCAGTTATAGAACCGAAAGCTATCCTAATAATTGCACCTAATATTATAACTCATGGTCATGGAGAAGTTGAGGGCGAGATTCACTAGAATCACAATCACTCATTTCATTCAAGTGCCTTTATACAAGATACAAGATATTTTATTTGGTCTTTGCAAACAAGTTACATAGAAATTTGGTTTCCACTGGCGTTACAGTAATATTCAAGAAAGTACATAATTACAAGAAAAGAGTACATCACGTTTATAGAAATAGATGAAATAAGGAACATGCAAAAGGTAATGAAGCGACAAAAATGGTCATTGGTACTTCAAATCATGAGTTTCAAAATTAAGCCTTGGTCATTGGTATTTCAAATCATAATAGTTTCAGTATTGATTAATTAATTTCCGACGCAGAAGTTTAACGTTTAACCTTTGAGTTGAATTTATGAACAGAATCGGGTACAAATGAATATCTGAATCGTGAAAGGCGGGTTGGGGTACAAATCATTCTTACATGATTATTAAAAGTGGTGAATGTCATAAAGCTGATTGATAATGTACAAAATCTTTCTATTAAGACTATATAATTACGGTATGTAGCTGGTTGTCTGACGCAACAGTTTAGGATATAAGTTTCTTATACAACAAAGCACAGCAAAAAAGAGGGTCGTTAGAGAGTTGATGATTGTCCAAACTTTCTCCATATCGGACCTACTGCAATGCAGAGACCTAGCATGTCACACAATGCCATCTAAAGCGAGGTCCTGGGAAGTATGATGGGACCCTACACTGTATGTCGGTGCTCCTAAAATTTTCACTTGAAATCGACTAGAATTTTCTTTCGTATTCCCCCCATCGTCTGATCTCATATTATTCTTTACATTCTAGAGAGTAAACGTGCGGAAAATCTCATCAAAAGACGTTGACACACAAAAAAGTGATTGCCCTGTCAGTTATCCCATTTCCTATTTTTCTAAAGTTCCACTTTCCATGTGCAATCAGCAATTAAAAAAATGAAACTATACAATCCAAACTCTCGATAATTGCTTATTATTCTTTGTCGTAATTTGAAAGTGAAAAAAGGGAATGAATTTATTAATATTGAAGAGACACACTAACCTCTATCCAGGCTTCCATAATGGATGCCATTCCTTTGCAGTAAAATATCTTCCAAATATGGAACCATCCAAACCGGGGATATTTTCGAGCTACACCCCCCCCCCCCCGTCCCCCCTTAATTCTCAATGTCCCTAATTATAATAATATCCAACATTGCCCGATAGTATGTTGCTTTGTAGCTCGACTCTTAATGGATTCGAAATATTCTCTAGATATATATTTTGGTTCCTATTATAATGATTTGGTCAATTCTGACAAAAAATTAATAAATATAGGCATTGATTGTTCACGGTTTTTATCGAGGACCCCCTCCCCCCTCGTCAGTTTTACCCTTCATCTGTCTGTCTGTCTGTCTCTGTCTCTGTCTGTCTGTTTGTCTCTCTCTGTCTCTCTATTATTCTCTCTTTCTTTCTCTCTCACTCTCACCCTTTCTCTGAACGTTGATACGCCACTTTCTCTCTCCATCTCTATGACATCCCTCACCGCTCTCTCACATCACTCTTTCTTTCTGCCCCCCTCCAACCTACCCCTCTCTCTCCATCTCTCTCTCTCTCTCTCTCTTCATCTCTCTCTCCCTCTTTCTCTCTCCTATTTCTCCCATTTTCTCCACTCATCTGTAACCTGCGTTTTAAAAGTTTAATCAGCGTACATGTATTTCCATAAATATGGCGAACACTGGCAATGTAGCCCCCCCCCCTCTCTCTCTCTCTCTCTCTCTCTCTATGATAACGTCCCTTCTCCCCCTCCCCTCTCTCATTCACTCTCTCTTTCTTTCCTTTTCTCTTTGTCACACTTTCTCTCTCTCTCTCTCTCTCTCTCTCTCTCTTTCTCTCCACCCGTCTCTTTTTAATTGTGCAGTAAGCACTACAGTCATTGTCTTACCGAGCATTATAAACGAACACTTGTATATACATGTAGTAAAACTACATAAAACTATAACCCGGAAGACGAGAGTCCTCTCAATATACTTCTGAAACTGAAAATCGTTCTCACGACCAATTCGAACAAAGCGAAACGAAAACTACGACCCGAATTCCCACACGAGATAGACTCATAGAGAAGAGAGATAGAGATACTTTCGTAAACAGAACATTAATAATCTTTCGTTAGGTCTTGGAGTGATACCGCTTTAACCGGCCTTAAACTTGGAGTACTTTTTTTTTAAAGATCAAAAGCGAGAGTCCATTTATTACGCCCCTTTTATCTTGGCGATAGATTCGCTGGCATCATAACGAGATAATATGGTTTCTGTTGTTATACACCACTTGGTAAAACGCGCCAAGAGATGAGAAGAGAGAGATAGAGCACTGTTGTAAAATGATATGATAGCTAGTTTCGCATTCGACGAGGTCTCGCTGGCATTAGATATAAAAGTTATCAATTTGAAAACCGCGAGAGATGTGCTCAACTATTGCCATGCTTCTCCTTCTTTTTTCTTCTAAGAGAAATGTAATCTTCGGTGTGAAAACAAGGAAAGTGAATTCAATCTCACATTGGGTAGCAAATAGAATGATAACTTTGAAGATGGTCATACAAATCGCTTAGACGCTGCAAGAACAGGTTTTTTGTTTTGGGTTATCATTCAAATGGGTTATTTTACATTGAACAGTTAATGTTACTTGCGTTCTTATAGAGATGGTGGAGATCTGTTGGAAAATAAAACAATGTGAGCTGTCTCAGTCTTTTAATCTAACGTAATGTTTGTCCTACCTGCGATTAGTATTGGTACTATTGCAATACAATTATTCATAACAGGTGAGCTTTCGTGGGCTATCCTGTTCAAGCTGACTTGATGTTGATCTGTTATTCTTTCATAATATATTGTAATTGTATGTTGGAAGCTTGGCAAATAGAAATCAATCAATCAATCAATCAATCAATCAATCAATCAATTACATAACTTGTATCTTGGCACTACCAAGAAACCTGTATAACCATTACATTACGAAAATGGTATATTGTGCATTGAATCAGTAATTCTTAGATGAGCGTCCCCTCCTTTACTTTTCATGCTTTTGAAGATCTATATTTCCAAAAGAAAGTTGATTTATCTAAACACTACAAAGGCCTTGAGGAAAAAACGCTGTTTCATTGTAATCATAGCACCTATTTATCATTAATATCTCATGTATACTCATTACGATGGACCACGTGTCTCTAATTCAATCACTCACTAAATACCATGAAAGGAGGCGACTTTCTTTTAATTATCTTTGTGGATAAAATCAAGTCGAAACCAACTCGATTAAA